CCCAGGAGGTCTCCCATCCAGGTACTGACCAGGCTCACACCTGCTTAGCTTCAGTGGGCTGCCAGTTGTGAGTTGCAGGGTGATATGGCTGCTGGATTAACTGCTTTTATTAATTAGGTTTAAGATATTAGTAAAAATTAGGTTTTGTGTGACTAGTCCATGAGGCCACCTGTGGCAGGCAGCCTTCTGACCCTGAGGACAGACCTGGTCTCGGGATCACAGCAAGGCATGTAGTCTGGTGTGGTGTTTGTTGACCAGTAGGAGGCACTGCTCCCTCTGGACCAGTAATTCCAAACCAGTACCACAGTAGTCCTGGCTGTGTGTGGGAATGAAAAATCCTTTGGCATTGTTCGAAGGAGTAGGGGTGCTGACCTAGGTGCTCTGATTGAATTGGCTTTGTAGATCCTTACTGTATTTGAGCTTCTGTTGCAGAATGGGCTATTCTGAGAGGAAGGTGCCCATCTGTGAGGAATGACACGAGTCCCCACGTTCCTGCAAAGCTTCCCACAGAAACAATAATTAAATCCAAGGTATTTTTGTTACCGGCATACCCAGGCATAGGCCAGTTCATCTCAATGCAGAGAGTACAGGTTTCTTGACTAAATTTACCTGCTGATTGGTCCCTTCCTTACTGTTACATTGTCACATTGGGATACTCTCCGCTGCCACCCTTCCTCCCTCACAGTCTCTGTCTGTCCTGCACTGTCTCTCTCTCTCTGTCTCTCTCACGTCCCCCACTGCCTGCAGCACTGAGTATATCCCCAGCTTCAACCCCAGCGTGCTGAAGGACTCTGCCTTGTCCACACACAAGCCAATTGAGGTCAAGGGGCCTGGTGGCAAGGCTACCATCATCCACGCCCAGTACAACACCCCCATTAGCATGTACTCCCAGGACGCCATCATGGACGCCATTGCTGGTCAGGCCCAGGCCAGGGGAAGCGACATCTCAAGGTAAGCGTCATTCTGCACAGGCCTGCCACCCCACAGCCCACTGGCTGCTGAAGACCCTTCGGAGAAACATTTGCACGGTGCTCATTCACCATGGTTTCCAATGCTCTAATTTAATTTGCTTTCACTGTGCTTTCACTGTATGTTAGTGCACTAGAGTAGGTTGGTCGCTCCGTGATTTGTTAATCCTTTGCCAAGTAGGGTCACTCTGAAATCAAAGCTAGATAGATGTTCTTGTTCCCTGTTCTCTCTAGGGGAGTTTCCCCAACATCTTCTAAGAACACTTTAATTCTCGTGTGATAGACGATTACTGTGAGCTCCTAGTCTGCTTTCTTCACTGGGTTGTCTCCCTCCTGTCAGCTGTTGTGTGAGGCAGTGGGCTCCCTCAGGGCTGTGCTTCAGGCTATAGAGAGAAGACAAGTGTCTCTTTGTGGATACGGATATCTGAAGAGACCTAGCTGGGACTCATGTCCTGCCGCTTCAAAGTGGACATGTAAAAGAGAAGTGCCTTCGTCCAAAACCATCTCTCATGTTCTCCCTATTAAACTGTTTACCTCAGGTTCACTAGCTATTAATCACATTGCTGAAGCGTCTGTCCTCTTCTTTATTTAATTCATACGTGTGCTCCCTCCCCATATCTTCAGAGACTTCTTTCTTAATTTTGCACAGTCCAGGAGCTTTTCAAATTTCATTAACGTTAACTGACCTTGAGTTCTGAAAACACAGTACAGGAATTTGTTAATTCATTCCTATGCTGCCTTCTAAAAATAAATGGATTTCCAGGTACAAACACTGTATGAAATTGTAATGTAATTTGCGAGAACACTGTAAAAGGTAAATTATTTCAGTTTAAATATTGTTCTACACACATCTCCTTTTTTACATTACCTTAAAAATCTTATTCTAAACTTATTCTAAATTAATTTAGGAAGTTTCTCTTTGATATCCTGTACTTGTAAAATCAATACAAATGCATTATAGTCAACTTCCTGATGGAGAGTTATCAGCGTGGGCATTAGTACAAATCCTGCCGGCTGTATCCTGCCTTGCTGTCGGTGTCACTGATAAGTCAGTCTCCAGCTTCCTTCTGTGCACCGTGCTGTCACAGGTGAGGCCTCGATTGCCTGTCTTCCGTGAACAGCAGGGGGCGCTTTTGCAGCGCATGGTTGCACCCAGTCAGCTTGCAGGAGCTGCGCCTACATGTGCAGCGTGTTCTGCTAAACCGCATCGTTGTAGGCGGGAGTCATGACGGATGATCACGATTGCCCCTTTCGCGTCCACTGCCTTTGAGAAATCCCGGCAGTGATTCCACATCGATAACCAGTGGATTCATCCCAGTGCACACCCTGTCTGCCTGCGGAGAAACGGCAGGGGCAGCGTGTCTGGCAAACACACAAAGGAGCGAAGGTCTTTCGGCCCATCTAGCCCCTTGGGTAGTAACAAACTGATCCGAGGATCTCGTCCAGCTACATCAAACTGTATCAGACTGTGGGATATTGTCTACTGGAGGTGGTTGGAAAGGTACCACAGTACAGCCGGGCTCCAGCTGTTTGTATAGAGCTCATGTATCTCTCCCTTTTCTCCCCCTTCTCTCACTCCCTCCCTCCAACACCACCCCCACTGCACCATCCGTCTCACCCCTGCCCTGCTGCTTCCCCCCTCCCCCTGCAATCGCGGCCCTGCCCGGGGGCGACCGGTTGGTCATGTGACTCACAGCGGTGGCGGTGCTGCCGGCTCTCCCCTGGCGTAAGTAGACTAATCTTCGCCTCAGACGAGCATGGCGTCTGTCTGTCTCTCCTGCCTGTTCATCCTTGTACTAACGAGCTCATCCCCCTTGGTGCTGAGCTGCTAGCTGTGGCCCTGTCCTCCCTGGCATTTCAGATCTCTGTGTTGGGAACCAGTGGGACGGATCAGTTCTCCATATTCCATATTGCCGCCAATGCAGAGTTGATATCTTCTCTTCCTACCAGTCCAGGTGTTTATCCCACCTATCACTGAATCATTAGTTTCAACTCCTACATTGCATTGCATGGTGTATTAAATGCTCACTTGTCCTGATTTGTTTTAATAATCTAAGACACGTGACTGTATGTAATGTAAAGCAGAGTAATTAGTCATTTAGCTGATTCTTTTATCTAAAGTAATTTACAGTGATAAATTTCAGATGAACTCCAGCTGCAGAGCATAAACCAGGAGCCCCTCTCCTTCACTGCAGGACCAGGTATCCTGCTGGGTTTCAGACAAGAAGGGGCTGCTGGTTTGCAGTAAATAGTAGAAGCCTCACCTGCAGTGGAGTAGTAGTCTCTGCAGGTGCCCCTTCAGACCTGAAGAAAACTGCCATTACCAGGTGTTAGTGTCTCAATCCCAGTTTATCACCCATCTGTTAATGGAGATGCTTAGACCTTAAATGTCTTTTAAGTTTTCTGTCTAGAGTCCTCACTTTCTAAATAGCTGTAGACATTTGCATTATTAAACCATATTCATTCTTTTCAAGCCTTAGATGGTTGGAGACTTGCAGAGCCCTGTGAAATTAATTGTAATCTCCATATATTTAAAAGCTGAAAACGGTTACATGTGACAATCTAGTGGTTAGCCATTCCAGTCTTTCCTGGTTCCAGTAAGCAGCAGAGAGTACAGTGACAGTGAATAGGAGTAGACAATGGGGTTCCAAGCACCAGAATTGGTGCCTATTTTTGGCCAATTGTTATAGGCACCCACAACTTTACTTTGAGTCCTCAACATACTTGCCCTCAACACTTAACAGGCAGTAAAACAAAAACTTTGAGTAAACAAAAATGTTTGAAGTTACAATTGTTTAAGTGGCCCCAGTTAAATGGAGTGTGCCAGAACAATGTACCAGGTATTCGTTTTATAATTCCACTTCATTTTTGTAGTATCAGTTATGAGTTCTGGGTGCATTTTGATTTGGAGAAAGCCCTTCTCAAGGGATGTCAACCATACTTTCATTTTATTTGGACATGGTCTTAACCTGACCTAATTACTGGGCCAGCCAGTAACCTCCACCAACTAAGTTTGTCCACAAAGGCTTCCTGTACTACTTATAGAAGAAATCAGTTTTGGGTTTTACAGTGTATTTGCAGTTAACGAACACCCCTTCAGTCCATTGTGCTTTTGGTGTTTAACCCGTGATCCTCTGCTTTCATTCACTGGTGTTGTTATTCTTTCCTAACTCCTGAAGTCTATCCTCCTTAAGCCAACTAAGTCCACAGTCCTCTGATGCATCTGTGTTCAGAGGTGCGGTCTGGAAAGGAAAACACTTAAAGGGCAAAAGCTGCTGGTTTGTTTTCCAGCTATCGAGATGTTCAGACAGGTACTTAAAGGACAGTGTGAAGTAGCTACACAAGAAATGATGGCTTATGGTCCTGAGCAGCATTCAGTGGCACCAAAAGGCAGAAATTACACCTCTCAAAGGAGCCCAGAACAAAGTGAAATTGGATTCTGGAAGAATGGAAGCTAATTCTTGAGGCTGATCTTCAAAGAACTGGGCCTGAGGAGAGCAGGGTTTTATGTATGAAATGTGTACAGAACAAACAAGGTTTGTTACTCCCAAATCCACTGCTGCCTGATATACCAAGAACCAATTAATGTACTTCACAATGAAGTGGCTGCGAATGTTCTGAGTCTGTTCCAGCTCCGGTATTAAAGAAATGTCTAAGGTTATGTTGGGTGTCTGGTTAAAGGATGTAGGCAGGTCAGAAGTTCATTGTTCATGTCTGGTTAGGTCCTGATGCTGGCTTGTGCTCATCTCCACACAGAGCCCCAAGAGCCCAACTCTCCCATCGTCCACCTACAAGTCCGATTTTACATGGCACCAGATATATTCACAGTACCTTTAAATTGGGGTGTCTGTCCAGTTTGAACCCCAGTGTTTCATTGCTCCATAGATTTTCATGGGTGGTGAGCATTGTGGATGTTCTGTTGCCTTGACATGCTGATGACATTTCCTGGGTTTGAGCGATTCTGATGTGGAAGAGGGGTCTCCCAGGGCTCTGGGTTTGAGCGATTGTGAGGTTTAATATTATAGTGATTGTGTATTTTAATATTAATTACTGGAGACAGAAAGTTTGTTTGCCTAGGTTCTACTTTTGTCTTCTATTTTAGTTGTGCAGACTTAGATGTTACTTCCCCAGGTCTTCGTCCAGGTCTCAATAATAGTCTAGAAGTATCCTATTACATGCGTGCAAGTTACCTATTGGATGGGATAACCATACAGGAGAGTGGCTAGTGACAGGATATGTTGTGTGTTGAACAAGGTCTTCCTCTGTAGCCTCAGCGGCTGGGGGGGTATTGTGACCCCAGCCTAGCAGGGAGTAGGGTTCAGGACCTACTGACAACAACGGCTCTCTCTGTGGTTGCAGTACGCTCCCTGTTAAAGACCCTCTCGTAGACAGTGCTTCTCCAGTGTATCAGGCTGTCGTCAAGAACCAGGAGAAGGGCGAGCTGGATGACTGGGCTCGCCGTGCTGCCAACCTGCAGTCCAAGTCCTTCCGCGTCCTGGCTCACATCACAGGAACGGAGTACAGTAAGTACAGCATGCTCCCCTTTCACACACAGTGCTGATGATCTGTACAATGCCACTGTTTATCTGGACCCTTTCTCTTGTGTTATATAATGTAAGATATGAATTATATTACATGTAAGAGTGTAATAGAGAGTCCTGCCTCATTCAAAGGAACAGCCTTGACATTTGGAGCAAAGGGCAGCAGCAAAACACCCAGCATACAACAGAGCAGACACAAACAAGCATTAAAGACTAACAGTTAACTCATACAGTATATGAAATTAAGGAGCGGGAATGCCATTACTGTCAGGATCATCAAGAGATCAAATCTGTCCTCCGAGTCTTCCAATCTAATGTCAGAGAGGAAAGTGTTTTACCAAAACTATTGATAAATTATATTGTTTAGGAAACTATGTCAGGATCAACACAATAAACCACTAAACAACAATCCATTTCACTAGAACAAGTGCTGGCTCCAAGAAATTATTGGATCAACAGTTATTGGTTACCAACAAGGCTAAAATAACCAACCTCCTCTCATTTGTAACTGTTCTTATGTTCTAAGTATGCCAGAATGACAATTATAAGCTGTAAAGCTTTTCCTTAAGAGCCTAGGCAGAGCTGGTCACAGATCACTGGTTTAGCTGAATGTAAAAAAGGCAAGAATTCTCCAGGAAGACCTGAATCCTTTCTCTCAGGAAGTATGGTGACAGTCAGTGCAGTTGGTGTCCACTTGTCCACCTCAAACGCTGACGCCTGTTTTCTTCTGTCTTTCAGTGCAAGACCCAGACGAGGATGCTCTGAGGAGATCAAGGTAGGCAGCTAGCAGCAGCTCTGGTGGCCTTATCTGTCAGACACACAGTCCCAGCAGTACATCAGAGACTTAGGCCAAGCGCTGGTTTAATACACAGCTTAATCCAGGACACAGACATCTTCTGCCAGGCCCTCTTCCAGGACACTCGGCTGCAACTTCGTTAAATGCTCCAAGGCCTTGGCTTCAGAGGAAGCTGACCTTTTGGAGCTGGAATGTGTTTAAGTGCCATATAATGGGAGTGGGTGAGGTTTTTGGGCAGTTTTGTGCTTCTCTTTTCCAGTAAACGCACCCTGAGCAGTCTCAGTGGGTTTCCTAAGCAGACTACACCTCAGCACTAATGCTGCCCACTGGCTGGTTTGCAATGCCCTGTTCGATGTTAGTCAGTCTGAAGTGGTTTCCTGAATATCATGAGCCCAATGCCATTCCTCTGGGTTCTCAGGACTGGGCCACCCCATGTGCCAGGAGGCTGTCCCTCTGGGTGATATATGCTAGAGCATGGCCTGAGTTTTGGAGACTGGGTCCCATTGCCAGTGTGTGTCTTAGGCACCAACTCTGGAATCCTGCTCCCTGTCAGACCCACAGCAATCCCCGCTGTACAGCAGCTCTTGACTGTATGATAGCTGGAATGGTTCAGAAAACCCTGCTCTGGTACAGTTTTGACATTTGTAAAGAATTCAGTGTGAAAATACTAAGCAATACCAACTTCAAATCTTGCTTTCCATTCTCTTTAGAGATCAATTTAATAGTAATGTAATTTAATATGTCAGGCTATATAAGCTTATATAAACAAGTGATTGGATATACAAACAAGACTTTTTTGCCTATTTTAAATGCTGAACTGGGAAACCATTTCAATTGCCTGGTGGGAGAAGAAATTACTCCTGTCCTGTTAGAGTACCGAAAGTTGCTTTTCATTGTTCTGGTTTGGGTTAAGCTGAGACTCATTAGTGCTGCTTAAGAACAGGCTCCTCTGGGCCACAATGGGGGACTGAGAAGTGCTGGATTGCCCAAACCCCAAAATCCCAGCTCCCACAGATGGCAGGCAGGCAGGGGTATGGAAGTCACAATCCCTAACCCCCTCTTTCTCTCCCTGTTTCTCTCTGTTTCTCTCCCCTCTCTTTCTCTCTTTCTCCATGCCACAGGGAAAGGTTTGAAACAGAAGTAAAAGGCCCACGTTTTGCTAAATTGAAAAACTGGCACCACGGCTTGTCTGCACAGATCCTTAACATTCAGGGTTAGGTGTGCAGCTGAGACAGGCAGGAGATATCAGAGGCAGGAACAGGAGGTAGAGGTGTGAAAGCAGAGTGTTTAGTACCTGTAATATGAGTTTAACAGTAGAGTAGCGAAAAAAGAAAATAACAAAACCAGTTTCCTGAGTGCTTGTCCTCATGTGTTATGTGTTTCTGATCTTGTATCCCTCCGCTATGTTATAGCTCTCAGTTCTGTTCATTCTAGACGCCAGTATTTCTATTTTTGGGCTGTTCCACTGATTTCCAAAGCAAATCGTTTGTTGCTGTACAACAAAAAGTAATAGAAATTGCCTGGCACTGTTGGAGGGCTGTATTTTTCCTCTTCAGTCCAATGAATTGTAATTTTAATAAAAGAGACCCCACTTTGAAACCAAAACAAAGATACAGAAGATGTGTCACTTATTTCCCCTTTGCTACTGTTGGACTTTGTCGATACTGAGGGGTTCAGGTTTGTAAGGAAGAATGGCTGCTCAAAACTTTTGAGATCCAGTTTGGAGTCAAATAAATTTCTAGGTAAACTTGCTTCTGGTTTAATTGGAAGTCTGTTACATTACAATGGCATTGGAGGAAAGTATTTGCAGTGGAGTCCACAGTAGTGCTCCAGTGAGCATACGCTTCCCTACCATGTTAACATGAGCACCCTCAAGACTGGGAGGAAGCAAACTTCATTCAGTAATAATAATAATAAAAATAATAATAATAATAATAATTGCTTACACTTATATAGTGCTTTTCTGGACACTCCACTCAAAGCGCTTTA